CCCTGGCTGGGTTGTTGTCGGCTTCCCCTTCCCCCTAGTCCCTGGTCTACCGTTGGTTGGTGCCTGGGGCCATCCGGGTCGGGGTGTCGTTTCTTGGCTGTCTTCTGTGATGGGCGGGGGTCCCCCACGTCGGTGAATCGTGTGCCACCCTCGCCCGTGGGTCGTGGGGTGCCCGTCCTGGCTGGGTCCCGGTCTACTCGCCTGGAACTGCAGTCTCCCTGGTTGGGCTGGCATAGGCTGCTGTAACTGGTGGGGTGCGCTGCTCCTCCTCTGGGCAGGTCCCGGTCTACCTGCGGGCTGGGTTGGTGGTCCCTGGCCTTGCCGTGCCCGGTGCCCACCTGGCTGGGTTGGTGTTGCCATCCCCCGTGCGGTTGGCCCCGGTCTACCTCGCTGGGCTGCCGACGTGACAGCATCTGGTAGTGGGCTGGGCCGACCTTGTCGGGGTGGTGCTGCTCTGCCTCGCAGGGGTATGGTAGGCCTACCTCGTCGGGGTGTTGCAGGCCTACCTCGCCGGGGTGTTGTAGGCCTACCTGGTCTGGGTGTGGTAGGTCTACCTCGCCGGGGTGTTGTAGGTCTACCTCGCCGGGGTGTTGTAGGCCTACCTCGTCGGGGTGTTGTAGGCCTCCCTCGTCAGGCTGGTTTTCATGTGCTCCCCCCCACCTTTTTCGGAGTTGGTCGATGTGGCGTCTCGTGAACTGTCCATCTTCCAACTCGACGATGTAGGATTTGGGGCCGGTTGTGCTGGCAATTTTCCCCTTCAGCCATTTAGGAGAGCCGCTGAAATTCAGCGTGAAAATTGAATCTCCGTTGCTGAAGGCGCGAAGCGGGCGGCTGGCGGTTGCGGTCACTTCCGGGCTGTATTGGGGGTGCAGCCGGTCCAAGGGTGACCTCAACCTTCTGCCAATCAACAGTTCGGCCGGGCTCTTGTGGGTGGTGGCGTGTGGCGTGATGTGCTGGGTGAGGAGGAAATTGTCTATGCGCTCTTGCCAGTCCCCCGGGCCCATCTTGGTGAGGGCCTCTTTGGTCAGTCGGACCATGCGTTCAGCTTGTCCGTTTCCGGCCGGCCTGTAAGGGGCGGACAGGGCGTGGCGGATGCCCAGTCCTGCCAGGAAGGACTCCATGGCCAGGGATGTGAGCTGGGGGCCGTTGTCTGAGACCAGCACATCCGGTAGACCATGTGTGGCAAAGAGGCGGCGCAGGGCTCGGATCGTTGCGTCTGTTGTGGTAGATGCCATGGGCACCACCTCGAGCCATTTGGAGAAGGCATCTACCACGATGAGGAGGTGTCGCCCTTGCATCGGACCCGCGAAGTCAATGTGGATCCTCGACCAGGGGTTGCTGGGGGTCTCCCACTTCGCGACTTCGGATTGCGGCGGCGCTGGGCGAACTTCTTGGCACGGGTCACATCTGGAGACCCATTGTTCAATGTCTCTGTCCATGGAGGGCCACCAGACATAACTCCGTGCCAGGGCCTTCATGCGGACGATGCCCGGATGCCCCTTGTGCAGGGTCTCTAACGTCCGCCGTTGCAGAGTGCTTGGAATCAGCACCCTGTCTCCCCATAGCAGACAGCCCTTTATGGTGGACAGCTCCTCCTGTTTCCTGGCGAACGGGCTGAACCTTTCCTCTGGCTTTTCCGCTGGCCACCCTCTGAGGATCCAGGACTTCACTTGGCAGAGTGTGGGGTCCTTTTGGGTGTGGACGGCCACATCTGCGGATGACACCGGGCAGCTGGCGTCGTCATCAATGTGAAGTAGGTGGAGTGTGGGGGCTGGGTCTTCGACCGGCTTCTTCGACGGGCATCTGCTGAGAGCGTCAGCGTTTCCTATGGCTGTGCCTGGCTGGTGCACGAGCCTATAGGAGTAGCCAGCTAGGAAGATGGCCCATCTCGTCATTCTTGGAGACATGAAGGTCGGGGTTGGTTGGTCGCCTGCGAGGAGTCCCAGGAGAGGCTTGTGGTCTGTGACTATGGTGAAGCGTCTTCCGTAGAGGTATTCGTGGAAGCGCTTCACTCCAGCCACGATGGCCAGGGCTTCTTTGTCCAGCTGGCTATAGTTCCGTTCTGCGCCGGACATAGTCTTTGAGAAGTACGCGATTGGGGCTTCCGAGCCATTGGGCAGTTCGTGGCTGAGAACTGCCCCCACCCCGTAAGGCGACGCGTCGCAGGTCAGTCTGATGGGGAGCGTCTCGCTGTATTGGATGAGGACGCTTTTGGACGTCAATAGTCCTTTGATGGCCCGGAATGCCGCTTCCTCTTCCTGGCCCCACTTCCAGGAAGCCGATTTCCCCAGCAGGCGGTGGAGTGGCTCAGCAACTGTGGCTTTCTGTTTTAAGAAAATGGTGTAGAAGTTGAGCAACCCAAGGAAAGCCTGAAGCTCCGTTTTGTTTTTTGGGCTTGGAGCTTCATGGATTGCTTCCATTTTTGATTTGGTGGGGTGTATGCCTGTGCTATCAATGAGGAAGCCCAGGAACTCGACTTCCTGTACTCCTATGATGCACTTGTCCCGCCTGACCCTCAAACCCTTGGCCTTGAACCGCTGCAGGACAAGCCTGAGCCTTTCAAGGAGTTGGGCTCTTGAGTCACCGGAGATGAGCACATCATCGAAGTAAGGCACCACCCCTGGAACGCCTTGGAGAAGGCGTTCCATCATGGATTGGAAGATACCAGGGGCAGCGCTGACTCCAAATTGGAGGCGGTTACATTTAAATGCCCCTCTGTGCGTGACAATTGTTTGAGCCTCCGCCGTTTTGTCATCCACTGGCAGTTGCTGGTAAGCCTGGGCCAGGTCCAGTTTCGCGAAAATTGATCCAGATCCCAGGGAATGCAGCAGATGTTGCACCACTGGGACTGGGTATGCGCTCTGTGCCAACGCCTTGTTGATGGTACAACGGTAGTCAGCACAGATGCACACAGACCCATCATGCTTCAGTGGGGTCACAATGGGGGTCTCCCATGAGGCATGATCGATCAGTTCCAGGACGCCCTGGGCGATCAGCTTATCCAGCTGTTCATCTACTTTAGGCCGCAGGGCAAATGGAACTCGGCGGGGCTTGAGCCTGATTGGGGTGATTCCCTTGTCCAGATTAAAGGAGATTGGCCTCCCCACAAATTTCCCCAGCTTACCATCGAAGACTTCTTTGAACTCTTCGATGATGGAGTCGAGTTCGTCCCTGCAGATCTCGTGGATGCCCTGAAGTGAAAGTCCTAGCGGCTTGAACCACTCCACACCCAACAGGTTCGGTCGGCTGTGCTGCACGATGGTGATGGGTAGCTTTCCGTCGAAGTCGTTGTACTTCACGTGGATGGTGGCTCTGCCTAGGATTTCAATGGGGTTTCCGTTGAAGTCCACAAGTCTCGCTTTCGGGGTTTTCAGCTGGGTCCTTTTGTATGCCGGTTTCAGCTGTTGTAGGTGCTGCCAGTCCATGATGGAGTAGGCGGATCCGGAGTCTACCTCCATCTTGCACGGAGACCCCTCTGCTAGCAGCGTCACGTGGAACTTGGTGGTCCCCTCGTCGCTTGTGTGAGCAATGGTGGTGGTCTGGTGCACCGTTCTGTTTCGGGGATATTCCTCCTCCCCGCGCCGGGACTGGTTTGAGGACCGTTTGGATGTCCTCTGGTTATCTTTGCGATTTTCCCGAAATCGTGGTCTGGGCGGTTCCGGGGCTGGGTCTGTGGCTCTGCAGGCCTCGGCGATGTGGCCCCTCTTCAGGCATCGGCGGCAGGTCGCGTCCCTCCATCTGCAGTTTGCCCTGGGGTGGTCGCCTCTGCAGCTGCCGCATCGCTCTCCCCGGTCGCCATGCTGTGGGTTTTCCCGCCTGGGGGGGGCGGGACACCTTGTGGACGGCCATTTCCTCATCAGACTCGGATTGAGTGGTTGCCTCGTCTGATGAGGTCGGGCCCGACTTGTGGATCTTATGGATCCCTCTTGCTTTTACCATTGTGGCGGCTGCTTGCTCAGACGTTTCAGCCGCTGTTGCCTCGTCGAGGACGTCTTTAAGCGGGATCCTCTTCCGGCTGAGGAATTTCTTTTGCAGCCCCACATCTCGCATTCCAAAAACAATGCGGTCCCGGATGGCATTGTCCACATTGTCGAACTCACAGTTGGCAGCGATTTGGCGAAGCGCTGCCACGAATTCCTTGATGGATTCACATTCCCGCTGGTTTCTTTGCTGGAAGGTGAACCTGTTTGCGATGGGGGTGCCTGTAGGTGCATAGTGCTCCTGTAGGACTTCCTGCAGGTCGTTCCAGGACATCTCCTCGATGTCCCTGGGTGCCACGAGGTCAATCGCCATCTCCAGGACGTCCGATCCGCAATGAGCCAGGAAGAGGGCTCTTTTCCTCTCCTCGTCGAGGTTCTGGTATCCATTGCCTCGCAGGAACTGCCGGAATCGGACCATGTATGACCTCCACTTCTCCCGGGATGGGTCGAACAGGTTCAGCGCGGTCATCGGGGCTTGCGGGGTAGCCATTCTGGAAGGTCGCTGTGGTGTGGTGATTCTGTTCGGTGGGCGATCGTGCCACGAGTCTTGTTCAGGTTCTCTCCTCTAGTCCTTCGTCGCCAGTGTTAGATCAGGCGCAGGAAAGGAAGACTGGACCAGCTCAATACATTTAGCAACTTTTATTAAGTACAAAGTAACGAGTCAAGACTGCTGGCGCGCTGCCGGAGCTCTCCTTATATTCGCTCCCGGCAGACACACCGCCCCTTGACAGGGATTCAAATTTCCCGCCCGATGGCTGGCAGCCAATCAGGGCGGATGTCCTTATAAGGACATAACAGATAATTCTACTTTATGGCATTGTGTAAATGACAATGATTATATATATATTTAGAAACAAAGCCTGCTATAACAAAACAGAATAACAAAAACTTGTTATTCTCTAGTAACAAAAGAAAGAAACATTCAGGGGCATCTTAAAGATCATTTGGTACTTGTACTTTAAATCACTGCAGGAATTTGTTTCCATAATTTAAGATAGGAGAAAGAGATCTTGAACATACCTTTGGTGGCTAGCCGGACACAATTTATTTTGGTTTCCTGCAAATGACAGAACATGAAAGGACATCAGATTGTTTCTTTATGAAGCATTTAAGAAGGAACAATATCCTTCAGCTAGAGTCATACATAAAGAATATTTCTGGAATATCTATACCTAGCATAATAAATATAGGGCTGTGCACACAATGAAAATGGTTTAGAAGTGCCTTGGACCTGACCTGAATGCAAGCATACACTTCTCATCTACTATTCATTTAAGGGAACATGATAGTTTTCAGATTCCTATTGCTTCAAGAGTCACCCTAACTTTGATGATGAATTCCTTAAAGGATAGCACTTCTTTTTTCATACTTATATGGAAACCTGAAACAAGATCAGGTTGCTTTAATGAACAGCAAAGAAATGCTATTTCTGCATGAGACCTGAAGCACTTCAAATCACTTTTGAAGAGTATTCAGCCCTACTAAATGAAAATTGATACCACTGTGCATAAAGCCTGAGTGCCATTGTCAGGGAATAGATTGGGGATATAAATTAAATTCAATATGCACATTGGTGAAAGGGAAATGGTGCAGTCTGCAAAAAGGACAAAATACATGGGCATAAATAGAGTCCTCTACTGTCCATCACACTCTACTCGGACACCTTCACAAATATATACAAGGAAATGCATATTTGAAAAAGATATGCCTAGCATAAGAAAATAAAACTTGAAAAAAAATATTTAAACTCTACAGAAGAGTTTTAAGGACAGTTACAAATCATTTCTTTTCTTTCTTCTTTCTTTCTTTTTTCTTTTACAGAAAATTGTGAGAATATAAAAATATAGGAAAATTTTGCAAACCATACAGATTTAGACTCATCTACATACCTTTTGTTCAAAAAATTGTTTATGCATAATTTAAGAACACACATTTCATGCCCAAATGATATGTAATCAGGCTGTACCTTGCAATTTGTCTTTATGGTTCTGACAAAGAAATATTTGTTGGGTGGTAATAAACTACAAATGCCACTTTCTTCCTCTCTTTTACACTGTAAAACATGTGTCTCCAAGTACCAGACTTTGAATAAATGATTGTATATAATAGGACTTTATTAATGTGGCTATTTTGTGCACGTCTTGCTTGTATAAATTATTGCATATAAAAGTATAATAGGGTTCTATTAATAGGGTTATTTTGTGCACATTTTGCAAGCATTAATATCGCATTATATATTTACAATTTTCATCTTGTATTTTGATAATATTTCTTAAAAATTAGAACAATACTTTATTATAGCAAATACTATATTTTTCAGCATGTAAGATGCATCTTTTTCCCCTCAAAAAGAGGGTGAAAATGTTGGTGCGTCTTATACACCAAATACAGCCACTTTTGGCCCCCCCTAAGCACCGTCCAGCTCATTCCATTTTGGAAAAAAACAAGTCTGTTTTTCATCAATTTTTGTGAAAACCAGGGCACACATAGGTTTGGGAGGCCTGCAGAGTGCTCCTGGGGGTTGGGGGAGGGCAAAAATGCCATTTTTGTGAAAAATGGGTGAAAAACACGCCTGTTTTTGCAAAAAATGAGGCATGCAGGGGGTTTGGGAGGCCTGCAGAGTGCGCTTGAGAGCCGGGGAGGGCAAAAACTTTTTTTTCTTACTTACCTCTTGGAAATCTTGGTGTGTCTTATACACCGGTGCGTCTTATAGCCCGAAAAATACATTATATTTTCTGGTGCGATAAGCTAAAAACATTATTCTACATCCAGTGATACCAGTATTATTGAATATCGTTTTGTATAATTTCTAGTTCCCAGAATACTTCTTTAAGCAGACTGTCCTAATGCTATCATTTCTACCAGCTGACCAACACAAGAGAGCAATTCTACCAGATTAATTTTTAAGAAGGTAACTTCCTCCAAGTCTAAGAGGAAACAATCTGATTCAGAGTAGGAAAATCTAAAAACATATTTTAATGTGCCACAAACTCATCCAAATCGCCATCAAAAAATAAAAGTTCAGTCAGATGCATGGACACAGACAGAGTTTTGTGATTGACAGATCTAGTTTCCAGTGATGAAATGCCTTTATCAGGGCTTTATTTTTCTATTTACTTTATTTTGCTTCAAATTACACTAAATTTTAGCATAAACCCCGTTCAGGTATCAGACTTCCAGAGTTCATGACAGAAAGTGCTCTGATAAGACCCAAACCCAATTGTCACTGAACTGAAATTTGGCAATTGAGAAGAGTTGCTGTTCACCTCTCACACGTTGGATATATCGCCTTGCAGAGAGTCCCCTCATCCTTAATTTATTTTTAAATTAAGGATTATTTTTTAAAAAAATGTTTGCAGAAGGAGGACAATCCACATTGCTGAACGTAACAATCAGTTGTGCTGCTGATTGTGGGTGGGGAAAATTATTTTATTCCATATTGTTGCTTCTTAGAAAAAAAAATAGTGCAGCTTGTGTTTTAGAACTAATACATGAGACCTATAATATTTCTAGTTTTGATATATTATGTGGGCATATTTGTATTAGTTTGAGACACATACAATAAAGGACAGGGATGGATCAAAGTCTGACATCTGAAGACTGGGTACTGCCAAACCAGATTACTTATTAATTTCAATTGGAATTAAATTCTGTCTTCTTCCTACCATTATTCCCACGCTGTGGCAGGGTCTGCTTAAATTCTGTATTATAATAATAAGAGGTATGCCTTCTTGTCATCTGATATCCTTCTACGATAAATTAGGCTCGGATAATAATGAGGTGTCTACTATGAATTCCTATTCCTTCTAAAAATACATGGGTGTTTTCTTTTAGATGTTAATTTATACAATGTTCTAAAACTTCAGTAACATTCCCTTTGGAATAAATTTAAATTTTAAATAATGTGAAAAAGTTAAAAAAAAAGTAATGTCTTTTGCATGTTAGAGCTTCAGTTTGTCGCCAAGTTAAGCTGTACCATAGCCATTCTGTCTCTTCTCTCATTAGCTAAAATTGTTACACTGAAAATGACACATAGATTGTATTATGTCTGTTAAATAGTGACCAATTTAGATCATTTCTTTCGATTTTGTTGCACACTGTGCCATTTTTGGTGTAATATGCCAAAATGTTGTGTTCTAGTCTCAGGGCTGTCACAGAGGAGTTGAATTTTCTGGATCTCCATCCAAAGATAGTCTAAATAGAACACGTGTGAAACTGAATATTCTTTCATTTTATAATATAAACCACTTGTTTACTGGAATGTGTGATTTTTTTTTTCACTCGATGGACTCGTCAAAAGCCAGATGTTTAAATGAAATGTGTCAGAGTTGGGTATAAAGGGGGGGGGAAGAAAAAAATTGTAGAGAAAATACAACTGGTTTCTGATCCAATGAGATTTGCAACTATGCACAGGAATGCTGACAGAGTAGAAATATGCAGTCCCTGGCATTTTATTTAAAATTCCAGAAACCCTCCCAAGTGGATGGAGTTCAGGGATTCAATCTTTCTCTCTCCTTATAAATATTTTTTGGACAAAGTAGGGGATTTAAGCAGTGGTGGAATTCAAATAATTTAACAACCGGTTCTCTGCCCTAATGATTTCTTCCAACAACCAGTTCACCAAACTGTTCAGAAAGTTAACAACCGGTTCTCCCGAAGTGATGCGAACTGGATGAATCCCACCACTGGATTTAAGCAGTGCAATGAATGCTTGAAATATTAGATTCATATTACAGCATCCTTCAAAAAGAACCGTTCCAAACCATCAAGATGATTTTTCTGATGGAGAGGGAGGAGCAAAATATCTTAACCCTATAATGTTTAAGGTATCAGTATTGCCCTTTGTACACTCAAACAGAAAAATGCTCACAAATTTCAGCCAGTGACATCACCATATTATAGGCAATGGTTTCTATTTGGACAGGACATACAATTAAAGTACAAAGTAAAAAAAAAAAACAACTTGTGTGTTTTTTGGAGGCACCAAATTATTATTTTTTAGTCTTAAAGTTTTTGACAGTCTCATGATTAGCATTGCTCAAAAGCTCAACTTTTATTACCAATATTTTAAATGTAAACATAAAAATCTCACATGATTTGATAATCTTACAAGGTTTCAGCAATTATTAATGTATTCATTTAATTCTGATTGACTTATTTAAAACTTTATACAAGCCTTTATATCTTGCCTTTCCTCATAGAGTTCTATTTAATTTTTTTTTTCCTGAGAATCCTGTCTATAGTTGTTGAGGGCACCTTAATAGTGTGGATTCTGCACTGTAACCTCAGAAGAAAATCCAAGAACTTTATCAAGAACAGGAAGCAATAATTAGAAATGAAGACAGAAGTGAGATTACAATTTTTATCCAATTAAACCATTCTGTTTATATTACCAGATGTAAATGCTTCTGCTGAAGACAAAATCAACATTGAAATTTCATTTTTTACTGTGACCAATTCATATTTAATTAAAATATCATGGGAAGAGGAAGAGCCTATTGATAGATAGATAGATAGATAGATACAAATCTCATTAAAAGAGACTAATCTGAAATTGTGTTGAAAATAGGAAATACTATTTACTAGGAAAGAATCTTAGATTAACAGTGCAATCAAATAAAGAGTGTTTTTTTTAATGCTCCGTTTCTATGCCAAGCAATGTTTATAAAGTGAAGTTGATGGGAGGAAAAGGGATAGCTGGAAGCAGTTGAGACTGGCACCTCTTATTAAATAATTATAGAATTAAGTGTAAACTTGGGGGATTTTTTGTATATGTGCGTGATTTGGAATTATATTAGCTCTTGGGTTGTCATTATTTATGAGTTGGAGGGTGCTTCAAACAAGAATATAAATCACAGCTGCACACATATGTTTATCCTTCCTCTCCCTAAGCTTTACAGAAAACCTGAGTGGAGATTTTTCACTTTCTCCCAACAATTCTATGCCTGAACAATCTCTCTTGTGCATTGCTGGTTTACTCTGTCGTTTATTGAGAGACAGAAAATATAGTCTCTCTCCCTACCAGAGATTTTGAGCAGGATAAAAGAGGTGGGGTGGGAGGAGTCTTTTTTTCTCTTACATCAAAGAGATCTTGGTCAAGTTTCCTACTGCAAACAAGCTCACAGTGACAATTATTTTAATTCCACCCACTTCAGACAAATGTGTTATATACGTCAGATACACTTGTGATAATACGAGATGCTTACTTTCAAATATTAAAACAATTGCATGGTTTGACATACTTTTTTTAAAAGATCCAGGGGATTTATTGTTAAATTGAGCAAATTTTGCTCATGATGCACTTACCCCATTTGCTTTACTGAGAGCCTGAAAGTAAATGCTGTAGCTTTTCAATGGTGAAAGGGGAGCATTCCAATAACCATTATAGGTTTTGTTGTCTCCCACTGTGAAAGGCTGTGTAACTGGAAGATTGACTGGTTTCAACTCAGCTGCAAAATAATGGGGGGAGTCAAGATTCGAAGCATTTTTGTAGCTCACTGGAATAGAGAAACATTCAATGATGTCTGCAGCTCTTCGTGATTTCTGTGGCCGTTCTTCTTTTACAACAAGCTGGTAGACACTGAAAAAGACCAGGAAAATTTAATGGGATAGGAACAAACAACTTTTGGGGTATAATAAAAACAATCTAATTCAGGAGAGTATTGGCAATAAAAAAATGGACATCAGTAGAGAGTTCAGTGTCTGCATTTATTGTAGAAAAATCCCAAGAGTTGCTCTAAATATCACTGCTGACCAGCACTCTACAAATGTAATAAGTGGAGAAAAGTATTAGAATATTAGAATTGCAATGATGTCAGCCTGAATTGGATTGGCACTTGGCAGTACTCCTATTGAGCACTTCTGCTATCTCCCTGCTAGAGAACTCAGCTAAGCAACTTACACAGCTGTCTCCTAGTTCACTGAGAAATTTCTCAAGTGTATGAGGAAACTAATTGGATCCATAAGGTGGCTGGGATAAATTATCTTAATGGCCCCATACCCTCTAATAAGGACAGTAGTAGCTGTGAGTCCCAAAGTGACTAGATAGTGATCTGACCATAACAAATGATTGAAGTTGATGTCTTTTATCTTTAGCTTGCACATTACTTGCTGGGAGGTAAAAAAAAAACAGATCAAATGTATGGCTCCACAGGGTGAATTGGGGCTGTGATGATATTTTTAATTCCATTTTCAGATGCTCCAGCCAACTGGTTTCCATACTTTAAGTCCAAATGATGACCCACATGAATTGGAATGAAGAACAAAAAGAAAAGGAACAACAAAGTTTTGTTGAATTCTGAAAGGCTTATAAGCACATTCAACTGAAGCTTCCTTCAACTGTTGAATGAACATCACTTGGGTAAGGGCCGCCATGATATGATTAAACATTTTGAAGCGGCAACAAAATCTACATCCTTGCATGAATTGATAACTTGTGTAATTACATTGAAACATTTCAATGTACATTTGTACATTTGTACAATGTACATTACATTTAACAGAACTGCTATGATTGCAATAAATTGAATGATTGACATGGTTGAGAAGCCAAGTCAGAAAAAGGTTAAAGAAATAAACAAGATACGAGATTATATGAATTATAATCACAATACTTTATTATTACACATTCTGGGCCTGAGGGTTATAGTTCAGCAAGCAAAAGAGTCTGGGGAGTGAGTTTTTCTTCAAAAGTAGAATGGCAGAATATTGAATGTAAAAGTTGGAAAAATGCAAGTAGTTCTTGTTTATTGATGTCCTGTTTAATTACTTGAATTTATGACCATGCTGAAAAAGTAACTTTACAAGAAAGAGGGGGGTTGAGGGGGTGGGGAGAGAGGGAGAGAGATTTTTTTCCCCTGCATTTCTTTGTCTGGGATTCTATTCCCTGCTGCTAACAAAGAGAGAGGGAGAGTTTGAGGATACAATGGACTCAGAAGCATCACTTGGCAGGTAAACCAACATGCAGAGAGGAAGATAGGGTGGTTTCATCAGTTTTTTTAAAAAAAAAAACTGCACAGGGAATTGCCTGGGGGAGAATCAAAGTTTGAACAGCCAGGAAGAAACTAAGAAGAGAAGCAGATTGGAGACCTGATCTAAGAAGAGAAATCAAACAGACAAAAAGAGAAAGTAGAGAACAATAACTCTATGAGATTTTGCTTTGTTTTGTTGTGCAATGAGAATTTTTGCCAAGAGAGACAGAGGAAGAGCATTTCTTTAAATACTGTGCTTTTGAAATGTACTTTACCTTTGAGGGAACTCTTCCATCTATTCTTTGTGTGAGAGAACAGCTTATTAATTCTGAGTGAATCTTATTCCAGGACACTGGAAGATTAAGCCCATTGATTCAACAGCAAAGTGTTGCTTAAAATGATTGTATGTGTGCTTTAATATCCAAGTGTTTTAATATATCCTTTCTTAATGATGTATGTAACAGCTGTAGAAAGCTCATAAGAGAGGTGAGGGTTTTTTTTTTATTTTTTTTTATTGAATGCCCTGGAAGGAGAGAATATTGTTCATCAGAGCCTCCCAGCTAAAACATTTGGCAGCAGGCTTGTTTACAATTCTAAATGAGCTCAATGGGATCTTGTTGGGAGATCTCATGGAGAATTGGCTCCTTGAATTCAGGATCAGCGTCTATGTTGCAGCAAGAACCATGTTTATGCTCCGGAACTAAAATAATTAAAATTTTATTCTACTAAGCCATCTGCTGACATCGTCAGCGTATTAAACTACCATTACAGAGATCTCTGCCTTTATACGCCATTAATCAATTTGGCCATTGCGCTTGTAATAGGCCCTTCCAGCCATCTCCCACTTGTAATTAGCTGTGTTGTTTTTGCTGTTGTCAGCATACACACACATATATATACACACATACATACACACACACACACACACACACACACATATATATATACCAGTGGTGGGTTGTCCCTGGTTTGGACCGGTTCACAAGAACCGGTAGTAAAACTGGAGGGAGGCCCCGCCCACCACACCGGATGTCATCATTGGCGATCTGTGCATGCACAATCCTGTTGCAAACTAGTAGTAAAGTAGAACCCACCCCGATACATACATACATACATACATACATACATACATACATACATACACATTATGCCAGTCAAATTATCATTACAACTGCATCACAGAAACAAGAACATAGAAGCTCCTTCCTTTCTAAGTAAAAAAAAAAAAAGTCATCAGTTTTATCAGCAACACATTTCTAATCAGTGTGGGTCATAATTTTCCTCACCCTCAGGGAAAGTAATTCAATTTCTGTATGCAGCTCAGAGTTGCTTTCTCTGTATTTATTTGTATATAAATAAATACAAATAGCTGGAAACTCTGCACAAATCCATTGATAGGTTCAGGTTCACAATTCAAAATACCCTGACTCAATCGCTCTTGAAAAACATTCAGAAGTTTCAGCTGATGAAAAATGCAGCAGTGCAAGCAGTTCTGTACTGTATGTTCCTTGTTTGGCATGAATTGTATTGGTTGTTGGTATGCTCCCAGGTCTTAATCAAAGTGCTAGTGGTTATCTTTAAAGGCCTTCATAGCTTCGAGTCAGGATACTGTCAGATCTGACAGGAAAAGTATTAGGGAGTTTCATCTGGTGGGGCACAGGAAGAGAATTTTTCCCTTGTGAAAATCATTTCACTAGAGATTAGATTCAATCCTATCCCACTGATCTCTTATAAGGTCTTGAAGACTTTTGTTACATAGCCTATAGCAGGGCTGTATGGTTAAGCCCAAATCATGTTTGTGTTAATTATTAAGGGGTATTTTTTTTATGTTGTCTGAATTTATAATGAGTAGGCTACCACCTGTGGCTTATTCAGTTTCATTTTGTAGTCCACAGAGCACCCACCAGACTGTACCAATGAAACTGGATGTAGACAAAAGAGCTAATCCGGAAATTCTAATTATAGAATTCGAGACAAAACCATTGCATTAGAACACTAATCCTTCTAGGTGTTAGGTTAGCCTACCCTAACCCAGATGGATATGTGGACTTCATCTCCCAGAATTCACCAGACAATGTGACCATTGTTGAGAATTTGAAAGATACGCAGAGCAGATGTAAAGGAAGAAATTCATTCTACCTCAGTACTTATGTTTGAATCCTAGTGACTTCACAAACATATTTATGTACCTGTTTGGCAATGCTACATAAAGTAATTTGCTACTGCTTTCTTCTTGATTTTTTACTTCCAAGCTTAGTTTACAACTCTAGAATTCTGTTAGTCTTCCATCCAACTATTAACTATTTCAGACAAGGTCAGCCATGTACTGCTTCCTGTTTGTCAAAGTTATCATGAAATTCAAATATAATAACACATTTTCCTAGAATATCTCTCCTTCATAACAAGTATCTTCCAATTTACCTTAAATTGGTATTAAATATGTCTTGTCTTACTAGTCTGACAAATGCTCCAGCATGATAACCTTTAAATTCAACCTATTTATATGTGAAATTTACACAGACTGAAGAAGTAACTCATGTCCCTTTCAAGGCATCATCTACACATTTTGTAAATGTTTAACCTTTAGTGGATGTCTGGGACTTCCAAGAAGTAACTTTAATTAGTCATACAACATTATTGAAAAACTTTGAGATGAAGTACATACTGGAAACACTTTGAACACAGGAAAAATAACCACATTTTTCATTCTAAGTTATAGAATTGTTTAGAAATAAAAGCAATACATATTCTTTGTTATTTTACTAAAGAAGAAACACACATATACCCCCACACTTTCCTATCTGGATGCTGTTTAATAATAATAATAAAATAATCTTGATTTTATTCAAGAATAAAGTTAATCTTTATCAAATATGGACAAGATAAAGAGATTGTAAAGAGTTGACTATATTTCAAAGTGTAGGTTACATCAGAATTTTTCTAATAAATTGTACAACTCTTTTAACAATATGAAAGGGACACAGTGGCACAGAGGCACAGTGGCTTAATGATGCTGGAACTGCTCACCAGAAATGGTCTGCACTCTGGCCAGCCAGGTTCAATCCTGCCCCCAGAAGACCCTATGTGCTCCCATTGCTCATTCCCTGGCTCCTGCCCACCCAGCGGTTTAAAAACATATTGCAAATAGATAAATGAGTTTTTCCCTTGGTGGCAAAAACCTAGTTGCATTTGCATGTACAAGAGAGCAGAAGCCAGTACTGGACCTGACTGAATATCAGGCAATAAGACACAGGACAAGATGAGGGAAGACCAGCCAAGGAGCCCAGAAGAGCCAGCAACCCAAGTGCCAGCAACCCAAGTGCCGCTAGTTAGCTGGTATAAAACTAGTTTGCTGCCACCCTTGGTGCACCAAGGATGGGAATGCAAATGCCAAACAGAACGCAGAGAGCAATCTAGGTTGTCAGGATTGCATTGTGTCTAGCATTTGCAGATCTCCCTGACATTGAATGCTAGAGGCTAAGTAAATAAATAAGCAATGATATCAAGATATCTGGAACAATTCCATTCCTATGACTTCCGCAATAGTATGTGAAAATGATCTTGGGAGACTGGAGGTGGTGATGGTGATTATGAGATACTGCCTAGAGAA